CAGCTACAGCCCCAGGCGAAGTGTCTAATCTGAGCCCCATCACCCAGGGCTGATGCCCTCGGGCTTTGGCTCTGGTCCTGGGCAGTGAGGCTTGGGCTTTGGCCCCAGGTTCCAGCAAGTCTCACTCTGTGGGCAGCAGGTGGAGCTCCTCCTCCCCCACTTTGGGTAGGCCAGCCCCTGGGCTCTGCCACTTTCTCCCATCCCTCCCCCCATGGCCAGAGCCCCCAGATCTCTTCCTACCCCCTCCATGGTCAGAGCCACAAGTCACTCCTCAGAGCCATTCAGAGAAGCCCCAAGTATCCCGCCCTCAGCCAGAGGAGCCCCAGGGCAAGCCGAAGTCTGGAGCACCCTGACACACACTTGTCCAGAGGAGCCCTAGTCTAAGCACCGCTGTGTCTGCCCTCATCTCCCCAAACCAAGCTACCCTGGAGAAAAGTCTCTCTTTGGAAATGGGTTTGCTATGCCCCCTATAGGTTCTGGGGTGGCTGAGATGAGTATGTGCTATTTTGTTTCCTGGGTTCTTCAGTAATCTCCATGCAGTCCATGGAGATTACTGAGGAACCCAGGAAACTGAATAGCACATACCACCCTCTTTAGCCAATGGCTACTCCAGAAAAATCCATGGGGCATAATAAAAGAAAAGCCTTAGCCCAAACTCTGCAATGTGGGTCGCACAGCCTCCCCTGGCCTATTATACCCACTGCCCAAGGACCTGACCCACTTTGGGATTCTGATCCGCAATTTGAGAGCTACTGATCTAGACTAATATGGGCCTAGGATAGCTTGTCCACAGAAGAATTTACAGTTTGATCCACCTAATTATCCCAGTTGTCTTACACTCCACCTCAGAACCTAGCATCGTCTCCCACGAAGACCTCTCATTCTACTTCAATGGGGAGAAAACGGAAGCAGAATTACAACCCATCTTGACAGACCAAAGGCTACAATAGCAGAATGAAACAAAAGAATCCTTCCATGTGCTTTATCTGAATATGCCTACTCACCATAGGCAAATGCCTATGAGAGATACCAGTGATTCAGCTGACTAACAGCCTGTCTCTAATCTCACCTTCCTGAGCCAAGTCACAGAGACAATTGTGGCAAACAAACTCTGTCATCACTCATCCTTTGCCAATGTCCTAAATCCCTAACAGTCAGGAGACAGACTTAGATGCAGCATGGCAACAGTACTTGCTGAATTAGCTAAAGTTCTGCTTATGACTATGGAGGAATGACTAACATCAGTGCTACTAGATCTATCAGTGGCCTTTAGCAGATGTAACAACATACACATTGCAAAGTGGCTTTTGGTGTTAAGTGTGGTTTTCATTTTTTTCTTAACAATGAACCCAGTTTTGCTTGTCTTCCTTTTGCTTTTTCTAAGACTTTTTCCCCCCCTGCTTCCTACTGTGTAGTTTGCTGAATGAATTTAACCTGTGGAGCTCTTCTATATTTGAGGTGTCATTCAAGAAGGAACAGAACTTTCTTTTTGTAGAAGAGGGGTAGTTTGGAGTAGGGAGACAGAAGTGGCCTGAAAGTTGAGCTAAAGGGCTTTATTTCCCCTACTCCAGTAGAAAAATAATCTTAGACTTTTAGCCTTAAATCTCAGTTTCCAGGCTTGTGTCACCATAATCCAGTCGTTAATATTATTTTAACCCAGTTGTCTTTATATGTGAATTTCCTTGATTTTATTAAAGATCTTTTTTTAAAAAAAAGTCCATCTCCTTTATGGAGGTGTCTGGAAGCAGAGATGTCAGATGTTCGTGGCTACTGTTACTGGATATGGTGTAGCTGTGAATTTAATAACTTTTAAAAGAGTAAAGGGTTCTATTTTGCATTCAGATGTACACACGCAGAGAAATCTCATGGGAGAAAGATGCTGTTGTAATTTATGCTTCATCTAACCACATTGGCTTCAAAGAGGTTGAGCACTGGTATAAAACTGGGAAGACTATGGTCCATTACTCGCTCAAAAGAAATCACCTTATGTGCTTCATAAAGAGATTTATTACCTTAAAGGACTTTTTTGTGGCATACAATATTTTGCAAATATGGTTTGGCACAAGTCCCATAAAGCACAAAGTAAGATTTGACAGTAAAATATATGAGGAGTTTCTTTTAAAGTACTTACTACATATGAACAGCAGACACTTTTCAAAGTGAAATGTCTTGACCAATAAGAAGATGTTGCCAAAATACAATGTACATACACAACATCACCATCACCCAGAGAAAAAAAATTACAGTTCCAAGCATTAAAGTTCACTCCTGTGCTGTTTGCTCAGGCTCTGACAGCTAAAAATAAAATGAATCCCCTGTCCTTCCTCTCAAAAAAACAAACCAAAAAAAACCCCATACTGGATATGACTGTTAGTTATTGCAGGGCAGTGAGGTTGTCTCTCAAGCTGTGCAACTGTGTAGGAGTGGTCAGAGGAAGTAAGAACCCATTTCTGTCTCTGGATGAACACCCTGGAACTTGGATCAAGGTCTGTATGATTAAATGGGTGCTATGCTCTTGCTATCCCCAGAGAAACTGGGTAGGGAGTGTATGGGGAATGAATGGACTCTTGGCTCCACTGCTTTCAGTACACTGCCCAGGAAAGCTAACCCAGTACCTGGGAGCATTGAGGGGGTGGGGTGGGTGGGTGAGGGGTAAGGTAGAGATAAGAGTATGAACTGCTGCTCCCCATAGACCAGGCTTGACCACTGACTTCCACAGCAAGGAGGAGGCAGGGAGGGAATTGTAGCTCCCTGAACCATCATTCCATCCCTGTGATGTTCCAGCATGGGGCAGCAAAACTCTTCCCTTTATTGTGCCCTGTGGCTTTATGAAACAATTCAGCCCTAAAATATTAATAGTAGCAAAAAGTTTGTCTGGCACCTGCACAACTCATTGCAAATCTTCCAGCACACACTCTAACTGGCTCCCCAGACACAAATCAACCACACAGCTAGCGCACATATTCACCCCAAACATCACTCGGAAGCTTAGAATCATAGAATAATAGGACTGGAAGGGACCTCAAGAGGTCATCGAGTCCAGCCCCCCGCCCTCAAGGCAGGACCAAGCTCTGTCTACACCATCCCTGACAGATGTCTATCTAACCTGTTCTTAAATATCTCCAGAGAGGGAGATTCCACCACCTCCCTTGGCAATTTATTCCAATATTTGACCACCCTTACAGTTAGGAATTTTTTCCTAATGTCCAATCTAAACCTCCCCTGCTGCACTTTAAGCCCATTACTCCTTGTCCTGTCCTCAGAAACCAAGAGGAACAAATTTTCTCCTTCCTCCTTGTGACACCCTTTTAGATATTTGAAAACCGCTATCATGTCCCCCCTTAATCTTCTTTTTTCCAAACTAAACAAGCCCAGTTCATGAAGCCTGGCTTCATAGGTCATGTTCTCTAAACCTTTAATCATTCTTGTCGCTCTTCTCTGTATCCTTTCCAATTTCTCCACATCTTTCTTGAAATGTGGCACCCAGAACTGGACACAGTACTCCCGCTGAGGCCTAACTAGTGCAGAGTAGAGCGGCAGAATGGCTTCACGAGTTTTGCTTACAACACACCTGTTGATACAACCTAGAATCATATTTGCTTTTTTGCAACAGCATCACACTGTTGACTCATATTCAACTTGTGGTCCACTATGACCCCTAGATCCCTTTCCGCCATGCTCCTTCCTAGACAGTCGCTTCCCATCTTGTATGTATGGAACTGATTGTTCCTTCCTAAGTGGAGCACTTTGCATTTCTCTTTATTAAACCTCATCCTGTTTACCTCTGACCATTTCTCTAACTTGCTAAGGTCATTTTGAATTATGTCCCTATCCTCCAAAGAAGTTGCAACCCCACCCAGTTTGGTATCATCTGCAAACTTAATAAGCGTACTCTCTATCCCAATATCTACATCATTGATGAAGATATTGAACTGTACGGGTCCCAAAACAGACCCTTGAGGAACTCCACTTGTTATCCCTTTCCAGCAGGATTTAGAACCGTTAACAACAACTCTCTGACTACGGTTATCCAACCAATTATGCACCCACCTTATCGTGGCCCTATCTAAGTTATATTTGCCTAGTTTAGGATGTCTGTTGAGTCAGTGTGAAGCAATGGAAACAGCTACAAGCATGGTGAGGCCTCTTTTTTTCCCTGAAGGATCACAGGTTCAATCTTCCCTAGGCTTTGCAGTCTGTTGTTGTTGGGTTTTTGTTTGTTTGTTTGTTTTTTGTGTTTGTAATGTCTGAGCTTTTTTACACACGTGACTTTATAAATTACACCTGTGGGATAGCACAGATTTTCAGTGACTAGCTTCTAGTTACATACTTATTAACTGATTTGGGCCTAAAGCATGGCCTGCCAAGTGCATCTAGGGTGTTAGGCCCTCTCTTACTCTGTGGCCCTCTCTTCACATGTGGGCAGGAGCAGGGAATGGGAGGAGCATGGGTTCCCTTCCCACCCATATGACAGTCAGTGTAGCTGTGTCAATGCATTGGGAGAAAAGACACTGTCAGGGATACAGTTGATGCAATACACTTTCAAACCGAACTCTGTGTGTGTGTGAGTAGCTTATTGGGTGGAACAGAAATTACTTTTAAAAAACAGGAGGACAGAAAATCCCATAATATTCAGCAGCTAATTCACAGCTTAAAGTACAGTGCTAACATTTTTGGCCTCAGCTAATTCAGCTGTATAGATTTCCTTTAACTACACCCCCCAGTTCTTGCACTAACATCAATGGCAGTTCTGCCTGCAGAACTCAGAGAGAGGAGATGCCTCTAGGGGTGGATCAGCCAAGAGGCAGATTTCATAAGGGATCCACATGGTTTTTACTCGGTGTGAAAGCACAATTCCATATCTCCTCCCTCAGGCCCAAACACACACTAATGCCAATGGGAGTTTTAGTAGCATAAGGAAAGCAGACCCAGGAGTTCAGAGGCGAATGATTAAACAAACCCAGTGTCAGTCTCATATGATGATGATAACAACATGGTACCTTTTCCTTCCTTCTGACATCTCTTTCTTTGTACAATACATTTTCTGTTTTCGCTGGTAGCTGGGCATGGGTTGCCCTGTGCTGAAGGATGCTGTAGGATTTCTCTGACTCTTGTTTCATTTCCTCTCTTGAAGCCACATGTTTTGCCTTTCTTTGTGCAGGAGCTCCATGGACTCCACTCACTAGCTTCACAGTGCACTGTAACAAACATAGGTCATGCTGAGTGGAGCAGGGGCTGTAGGGCACACAATGCATGCAAGATATTCATTTTATTCTGTATCAAACAAAATGTAAGAAAAGTGAATTCACCTTCAAACTGAAAAGCTGGCTGGCCTTGAGCAAATACATCTTTCTAAGGCCAGGCTCAGATCAGGAAGGGTATGTCTAGAGAGAGGCGCTATTTCAGGATACCGGAGGCATGCTGAAATAGCTACACATGTCTTTTAAACACGCTTGTTATTTCTAAATATTTTTCAAAATAACGGGCATGCTATTTCGGCATCCCTGTAACCCTCGTTCCATGAGGGTTAAGGTATGTCTCGAAACAGCACGTTAAACTTGGAAATCTGGAGCTGTGTAGATGTGCCGAATTTCAAAATAAGCTATTTAAAAATACAGTCAAAATAAATAAGCTCTTTAAAAATACAATCAAAATAAGATACACAATTTGCGTAGTGCAAATTGCATCTCTTATTTCAAATTTAGGGTACGGTGTAGACGCACCCAACCCGGGCTCTCAATTTTACCTGTCCAAACTGGGAGTAACTCTGTTTACCTAAATGGCATTACCTACATGGCATTACTGAAGAGGTATAACTGAGAGGAAAATGTGGCCTGTCCAGGATGTACTCAACATGAAATAATGCAAATCAGTTATGTGTAAGTAGGACTATTTCGCACTGGCTGCATCACTTTTGCCAGCTGCATTCCAGGGGAAAAAATGGTTTTGGCAAAATGAGGCATTGGGCCTGATTTTGCTCTCATGCTGCATTGTACAGAAACATAGTTCCACAAACTTCAGTGGAATTAAACTTGATTCACACCTGTGTGAGAGGAGAATCGGGCCCATGTTGCCAACTCCCTTGGTACTGAACAGCTTAGTCAAGATTCATGAAAACGATGCTATTTGTAAAACATACCGAGTAAAGATGGGCAAAACTGGGACAGATGTTGGGTTTGAATAAGTGACCTAGTTTGGCCCATCTCTTCATTTTTCGTCTGCAGATTAAGTGTGGTACAAGTTTCATACCATAGATCGCTTCTATCATACTCTGCAACAATATGAGAATGGATTTAACGGCCTAATAGATTTTTCCATCTCTGCAACTTATTTCCAAATTTTACAAACCCTAGAAGACAGTTGCTCACAAGCAATATCCACTTAATTATTGTGTGGCTCATTCTACAAGGGTTTAGGGATGTCTCAAAATAGCACATTATTTTGAAATTTGGCACTGTGTAGAGGTGATAAATTTCTAAATAAGCTATTTTGAAAAGCAATCGAAATAAGATGCACAATTTACGTAGCGCAAATTGTGTATCTTATTTTGAGTTTAGGGTGCTGTGTAGATGTACCCTAAGACACCTCCTCAATGGGTGGGAGGAAGGAACCCCACCATCTACTGCTAGGAGCTGGTTCGCAGAGCAGGTTGGGTGTGCAAGAGGAAGCATACTGCATTTTCTGAAGGAGTGGAGTACAACCAATAGTCTGCTAGAGAGTTTGGGAAGAAATCTGTGCAATAGGATTACTGAAGTGTTCCGTATTTTCCCAAACACTGGCCTATGCTTAACTGGCACAAGACAGCCCATCATAATTGGAAGTTGCTCCTCAGAGGGCAATGGGTTATTCTGATGGGGCCAGAGGACAGATGCAGGAAACACCTTGAGATTATGGCATTGAAGAACACCCCCTGTGACTGAACTTTTTTAAAAATAAGTCAGATGTAATTTTGAGTTTGTGTTTCTAACTCTGAACCTATTCCTGCAAGTCCTGTCCTGCGCAGACTCCCTGAGAGGTCAATATGAGTTCCTCACGTGCAGGGCTTGCAGGCTCAGGTCTTAGGCTGGAGTCTCTACTTACCAATACTGGTGCACTCCATCGTGTGATTGTTGGGTTCCAGCCCCTCAGGGCAGTTTTCAAGGCACTTTCCGTTATGTAAGTAAAACCCACTTTTACACTTTGTGCAGAAATTTTTGGTGAAGCAGGTATCACAGTCAGCTTTACATTCTGTAATGCAAAATGGGAAGAATTACAGCCTGTGTCACCCCAGTTAGACATTAAAGCCCTGATTTGCATGTATGCCGCTGTGCTTTACACCACTCTGACAATGTACAAGGGCCTGCCAGTGAGAGTACATTTTATTCATAGCCACATTAAGTCTCCTTTACACTGTGGGAAATGAGAATTAGGCCAAAGGGGCTGCATTCAAAACTGCCTTGCCCTTTGAATAGTCATTAAGAACTGTGCAAAATGGGTGCACAATGCCCCCAGACCAGAATTGTAACATATATCCACATTGGACTCACATTGCACAGGGGTAAACAACCAGTTAAAATGCAAGGCACTGGAGAATCAGTTCCACCAAGTATATCTCCATTTGTTCAGGAAAAACTAAAAATGTATTTCAGAATTTAGATTTATTTATTTATGTATTTCTGGTCCATTGCATTTTGTTGCAATCCCACAGGATTTTCCAGAACTATTATGTTTATATCATTCATACAGGACAGAAGCAAGCTATCAGACATGGATTTTTAACAATATGAGAAAACCTGTATATCTAATATTCTGCAAGCAAGATACAAAGGCCATGAATACATTTACTCTAGAGAAAAGTTCACAATCATTTAAAGTTGTTTAGTAGCTTGGAGGTTATACAAAAGTAGAATTGAGTTTCAGCATCCACTGGTCAGGAAGTAAGGAGAATTACTTAGCTATAATTCCTATGTCTGATTTAGTCACCTAGATGGCTGGTAAATAAAGTCAATCGAAAAGGGAGTTCTCTAGGTTTTGGTTTAAAAATTTCAAAATGTAAAATTTGATCAAAATTCAAAAAATATTGATGGGGAGGAGGAACTAAGAAATGCAAGTTAGGCATCTAAGACCTCTGAAAGTCAATGAATGGGACCGTGCCAAGTTCACGGCTCATTTTGGTCAATTTCACAGACATGGAATTTTAAAGATCAGAAATGTCATGAGTTCAGCTATTTAAATCTGAAATTTCATAGTGTTGCAATTGTACGAATACTGACCCAAAAAGGAGTGTGTTTGTGGGTGAGTGGGGGATGTCACAAGTTTACTGTAGTTGAGTGGCAGTACTACCATTTTTAGTTCTGTGCTGCTACTGCTGGTGGTGCTGCCTTCAGAGCTGAGAATCTGAAGTAGCAATTACTGGTCAAGAACCCAGCTCTGAAGGCAGGGTCACTACGAGCAGCCATACAGAAGTCAGGATGGCATGATATGGTATTGCCATCCTTACTTTTACTGATGGGGCACTACCTTCCAAGCTTGGCACCTGGCCAATAGCCACCATTCACCAGGTGCCCAGCTCTGAAAGCAGCACAGAAGTAAGGGTGGCAAATACCACAACCCCACTCCCCCAGTATAACAAGGTAACCCACCTGCAACTCTCTTTTGGACCAGGATCCTTAAATGAGAAATGCTGGTCCCCATCCCAGTGACATCTGAATAGTGTAGGGTAAAAGCACACAAAAGTCCAGATTTCACAGGGAAACACCAGATTTCATGGCCCACAGCATGTTTTTCATGGCTGTGAATTTAGTAGAGCCCTTTCAGTGATAGTCTGGCATCTACCCACAGATGGACAGTGGATCAAACATCCAAATTGCAGAAGCACCTTTGTGGTTACGCTATGCACAGAGTATAGTTACAGCGAGGCCATGCAAAGGAGCTCTGGAAACCTCACCGTTGAGCAGTGCTCTCCGGTATCAAACTCTGTCTTATGGAAGAACTGAGGTCCAGCTGGGATGACAAGTGCATTGCCAGTGAATTTATAAACAGCATGGATCTCATAGTCACAGGCTCCACTCTGGGAAGTTGTAGTGGCCCATGACCACTGCTACAACCATTCAGCTGTAGCTGTGGCACTAGGGGATTAGACTACAAACCTTTATCTCTGAATAAGGATGCAGGAGAGAAATCCATCCCCAGTGCCTAGATAGGTTATCCATACAAAGACTTTTTACCTAATATGAATTTCACTCTAACCTTACACTCAGGTGAATACCTATTGTACCAATATAAAAAGACTGACCAAACTAAAGAATTTATCTGTCTACTATTTAACTTCCTTGATTCATTATGATGTTTAGTCTCATATCAGAACAAAAACGCACAAAGATACAGTGTTGTTTCTCCAGCACTTACTTGTACACTTATTTATTTCTGGATACCGGGTTCCAAAGTATCCGCTTGGACATGAAGAAAGACATACCCCGATCTGTTTCATGCCAATCCTCTCCAGAACAAAAAAGAGTCTGGGTTTGCATGACAAGCATCCATTGTAGTCAGAACATGTTGCACACCCTCCTTGGCAACCCTGGCTCACATTGGGATGCACTGAAAAGACAAATTATTTTAAAAAGGAGAAAACTAGATTAGACAACCCAGTTATATGATTATGCCTCTGTACTGAATGCTGTGTTAAAATCTTACATGACAGCCTTCAAGGGCTGGTTCACTTTTGCTTCCGTCGTTTATGACTTGACATGTTGCCTTCATACGTATTAAAATGGGAATCTCAGATGATATGCTCATATGCTGCAGGAATAGCTAACAATAAATTACACCTGAAATTGATTTTGCGATATACCTGCACCTTGGGCAAGATTCAGGATTTTCCATCAGGAGCAATGGCTTTGCTGATATTGCTTGTGTTGGCCTAGTATATGTTTGCACGGCAAAGTAAAATTTGAGCATTAATATGCTTGTGCTTTTTGTTTCATACTTAAGATGATAAGAAAACCCACCCTAGTCTGTAATGGCTTTTATTTAAGTATCTTTTTTAATTGATACTGTGCAAGAATGTGGTAGCGTTAGATCCGATACAAAACTGCCTTTTAAGAAGACACAAAGAACCATCCTACTCACTCATTTTTTCCCTGGAATGTTCACTCTGGCATGTTTAATCTTCAGCAATTACAACCTGATGTTCAGACTTAACTGTGACATTTAGACTACCCCCATCCCAGCATAGAACATAGGTAGGAGTTATACTCCAGTTTCAATGGCTTCATTCTATATTTCTGTTTCTTCAAGAAACAGAGAGAAAAACCATGCCGCCTTTTACTACATAGACATATGTATTACTATGCTTTCAAATATTTGGTACTCGTTGTACTTATGTGCACCAGTTGTTTTTAAAGCAAACAATAGGAAGATATTG